AATTATTCAAGAATTGAGGAGATTTCAGTGCAATTGCAAATGATGAAAATTATGCAACTGAGGAAAATGAGGAAAGAACACAAAACGAGAAGGAACAGAATGAGAGACAGGAGAGAGAGTGGAAGAGAAAGGGGAAGAGGAAGATAGATAGGTAGATAGGCAGATATATAGGTAGATAGATAGGTAGGTAGATGAAGAGATAGAGAGATAGGCATACAGACTAACAGACAGATAGAGAGATAGACAGGTGGATAAACAGACAGGCAGACATATAGACAGATAGACAGATAGACAGATAGACAGTCAGACAGATAGATAGACAGGTAGACAGAACAGACAGACAGATAGATAGATAGATAGATAGACACACAGACAGACATATAGATAGATAGATAGACAGAAAGACAAATTAACAGTGTCTATATAGATAGACAGATCGACAGGCAGATAGACAGGCAGAACGAGAGAGCGAGGGGCGCACTCACGGGCGGGGGGAGGCCGGTTGGGGTGAGGTACCCCTCCTCGTCCCTCTTGGTTTGCCTGTGGCGGGATTTCGGGCGCCCACTCCTTGGGGGGGGAACCGAAGTGGCACTCCCTGTGAGGAAATGGCAGTTGGGTCAGTGTGGGCGAGTGAAGTTAGTGTCCGCGGCCCTGAAAAGGCTTAACCTAGTGCCCCCCTATTTTTTTTTCTTTCCGGCCGGCGCCTCCTAGGGTTCTTGGTGGATTCGTAGCACACACACTTTTTTTTTATCTTTTTTTTTTTCTTTTTTGGGGGGAGGGGGTGGGGGGTATGTTTCAATTTAGAAACAAGGAGCTTAGATACGAAGATGTATTTCATGAATAAAATCTGATTTCGAAAGCCAATTTATTTAGCAGCTGTCCTCCCGCCCCCTCCCGCCCCCTTTTGCCCCCCCCCCTTAGATCTTTCCACCACCCGCTTTGGGAACCAGTGGCTGAAAGGCAAAGTCTCATTTCTTGCGAACGCCGTCGTCCGAAGTAACTGAATTACAGATAAATGTATGAGAAAGCATTATTGGGGAATCGAAAGCACGTTCCTTACGCCTCTTTTTGAGCAGCTTGTTCTGTCGCAGGAGGAGGCACGTGATGGTCACCATGAGGCCCAGGATGAGAGCCACGCCGCACGTCACGGACCACAACAGCACCTTCACCTCGTACTTCACGATGGGAAAAAAAGAAAATTAACGAATAGAAAAGGAAAGAAGTGATAACACATTATATATGTATATATATATGTATATATGTATGTATATATATATATATATATATATATATATATATATATATATATATATATATATATATATATATATATATATATATATATATATGTAAGTATATATATGTAAGTATATATATATGTAAATATATATATATGTATATATATAAATGTATGTAAGTATAATCATATGTTTATATATGTATATGTATATAAATGTAAATATATATAAGTATATATATATATATGTATATATATATATATATATATATATATATATATATATATATATATATATATGTATATACACACACACACACACACACACACACACACACACACACACACACACACACACACACACACACACACACACACACACACACACAATTTTGTTTATTTATTTTTTTATCATTGTTATATTATTATTTTTCAAGAAATGCCTATTTTTGCAACAGTTCATTCATGCTCAAACTTACCTCGTTTCCCATAGCGTTCACTTGCTGAACACTATACCTGAAGATTGTGGCAACGACTGTGAACCTTCGAACAGATGGAAGATTCATTAAACATCGAGAAAATAATTTGATGTCGACGAAGTGTTGCTAATAATAGAATTTTCCATTTTATCTTTTGGCATTATAGAGTTACCCTTTGAAGAAGTCAGCATTTCCTTCTCGGCATTTAAAGTCATATATTTTTTTTCTTTTTTACGGATATGACAAAGTCTTCGAGCTGCATAATGTAGTCAGTCGAGAAGTTAGGCACTTAAAAGACACTGATTTTTAATCTCTATTAAAAACAACAAATGAAAGTAGAAATTAGTGATAGAACTCGATCAAAATTAATTTAGTTACGAATTAATTTTATTCCATAAGAAAATAGTTTTTTTTTGCACTTTCTTTTCGGAAAAGCTAATATTTGCAAATGTCTGAAGTTTAAGAGACGAAATACGTATCAAAAAAAGAGGGACAGGCAGGAAGAGAAGAAAAGGTGGGAGAGGAGGAGAAAGAAGAAGAAGAAGAAGTAAAGGTGAAGAAGCAGTAAAAGAAAACTAAAGTGAAGAGGAAAGAATAATAAAAATAAGAGGAAAATTATCAATACGAAGAAACAGAAGACGAACCATAGCAAGAAGAAGGAGAGTGACTAAGGAGTAAGAAGAGAAGGAATAACAAGGCGAGGGAGAAGGGAACTGACCTCCTGCGGGAAATGCCAACGCCTCAGCTCCTCGATCGCCAGGGCCTCCTTCTCCTGCACAGGAAG